ACTTGACTGCTAACCAGAAGGCTGGTGGTTCAAACCCACCAGCCACTCCTTGGAAGGAAGATTGGGCAATCTACTTCCGTAGTGATACTGCCGCAGCAACCCAAGGAGGGGTCGCTATGAGTCAGGCCAACTCGACAGCACATAACAACAACAACAACAACAACAGCTTCCTTCAAAGTTCATTTCAAAGAAACCTATTTCATGAACTAATTCTGCTGTTATCTTTTGTCACACTCAACATCTCTACCCAATATTTCTGTATTTCTGTACTTTCTATCTCTACCTCCAGACTTCTTTTTTTAAGGATAAGGTAATTGTTTGCTTATATATAATCTATGTACAGAATGCCTTCTCTAACAGTTCCTTATCTCATTTGCTCATCAAAATTTAAACTCTTTGAAGGCAAAGATTCATTATTTTCTCTTTTCCCTCCATTTTTAACTGCCACATCACCCTTAGCATTGGACATAGTGTCTAACACATGGAGTACTCATTACATATTTAATGAATATATAATTCACTGTATCAAAAGTTGTGAAGGTAATTCAAAAAGACAAATGTCGAAAGTATTTCAAAAGACACATATTGCCTTCTGCACCAATTATTTTTAGCCCTTATTTGGATATACAAATTTGAATTTGTTATTTAATAAACCAATTATATGGTATTGCCTTTAAGGAGATATTAACCCTTAAGAGCCTAAAAATGCTAAACTTTTTATTAAATTAGCACAGTACATAACAGACATACAAAAGGATTTTGCATGAACTAATGAATGAATAAAAAATTAAAGGAAAAACTCTACTCCTTGCCAATGGATCAATAAACATCAAACTTGAGAGTCAAACACCAAAAAGGATAGAACCAAATAGAAATTTTAAAAAATTTTCCACTAGCAGGATGAACAGAACTGAATCGATCCCAAAGTTTTTCACTTAAATAGACAAGGGAGAGTTAAGGGGGAGACAAAATAGGATTGTACAATTGCATTATTAACATCTTAAGGGTGAAAGTTATGAACTGGGATTCCTCTAGACACTTTTCTTATAAGCAGCTACGTGAGTACGTTACCATACACCTCCCCCCCCCCAAAAAAAAAAAAAAAACTTTTTAGTGGAGAGCAACAAAAGTAATAGAACATTTAATTCACACCACCAATAGGAAGAGAGAAGATGAAGAAAGCCTTGGCTCCCAAATTTGAAAATTTTAGTACTACACTTAGCTACTGCTTACAACTGTGACTCTGGGCAAGTTAACTAAAATTTCAGAAAACTCATCTGCCTCATCTATAAAATTAAGGAGGATATATACCTGGGAATACAGAATAAACTATTCCTAAGAACTTTAAAATATGAATGATTGTTGAAAACAATTTTTTTTTAATTGTCTGATGGAGTTTTCAAGATATGCAGTAAATTAAGAAATATGTTAAGTACAATATAAAGAGAGGAAGGTAAAAAGATTGATGTAGTGATAAGGAGTCTGCATTCCTCTTAAAGTAGTTAATTCTAAGTAGGCTGTAAAAAGTTAGGTATGTATATAATATCCCCAAGAGCAACCACTAAAACAATTATAGAAATAGTCAAGAACTCAATACTAAAACAGAACACTAATCATTCAAATGATCCAAAAGGCAGGAAAGGAGAAAAAGGAACAAAAAAACAGAGAGAGAAAAAAAATGGTAATGAGAAATAAAATGGTAGCCCTAAATCCAACAATACCAATAATTACATTAAATGTAAATGGTCTAAAAAATTCAAGACCCAACTACATGCTATCTATAAGAAATCTACTTTAAATACAATGGTATAGGTAAGTTAGAAGGAAAAAGTATTGCAGCTCTATTCAAAATCATCAAAAACTGGAAATAACACAAATATTATTTGAGGGTGAATGAATAAACTATAGTAATTCATACAATGGACTATTACTTAGCATTACAAAGGAAAGAACTGCTACATAAAACAACATGGATGAAACTCTAAGACATCATGCTGCGTAAAAGAAGCCAGTCTCAAAAAGTACTGCATAACTCCATTTATACGATATTCTGGAAAAGACAAAACTATAGGGACTAAGAACAGATCAATGACTGCCAGTAGTTAGGGATGGAGGGGGGATGTAACTACATAGGACAGCATGAGGGAGATTTTTGGAGTGATGGAACTTTCTGTACCCTGATTGTGTGGTAACTTGAATCTATACATGCGTAAAGCACCTGGGTGGTGCAAACAGTTAAGTACTTGCAGTACTACAAAAGGTTGGCAGTCTGAACCCACCTAGAGGTGTCTAGGAAGCACGCCCTGGCACTCTGCTTCTAAAAGGTCACAGCATTTGCATGGCCTTGGAGAAGAGTGCTCTGCTGCACCTGGCTATTCCTCCCCACCTGCTCCAGAGGGTCTGTTACATACATACCAAAAAAGAGATTACCCTTGGTGAGTAATTTCCCTTGGCCCAAAGGAATGGCCTGCGGAACACATTTTGGCATATGTTCTCCCTTCAAAATTTTGGGGGAATTTTTTTTTTTTTTTCAAGAGAAGTTTTTGGCAGTTGAAAAAAAAAAATTACTCATATAGGTCCCTTTATAGGAACTAGGTGATGGATGTTAAGGGCTTTATAATTTTTATCAGGGACCCAAAACCTGAATTTGTATGTTGTTGATGTTACGTGCCGTCGAGTCGGACCCAACTCATAGCAACCCCTCCTTGGGTTTCCGAGGCGGTATCACTACGGAAGTAGATTGCCCCATCTTCTGAGGAGAGGCTGGTGGGTTTGAACCGCCAGCATTCTGGTTAGCACTATGTGCCTTAGCCACTATGCTACCAGAGCTCCCTGAATTTGTATACAATTCAATTTAAAATTATATATATATATATATTTGCTTTTCACGTAAAAAAAAAAAGTCATGGCCTTGAAAACCCTATGGAGTGCAGCTCCACGCTGCAATGCATGGTGTCTCCGTGAGTCTGAATTGACTCCACTGAAATATATATATGACTTATGTGCTAAAAGGCAGAACTACACACCTAAAATGTCTATTTTATTGTATGCTAATTTAAAAACAAAGTAAAACAAAAGTTAAAAGGATGCTCCCCATGGACCCTTCAAGAATATGAGAAAAAAGGGGGGGGGAGAAAGGAAGACAAGAAGGAATGCCAAGTGCTACTGGCATAAAAACCAGTAGTCAAAAAAGCCCCTTGATTACTGCACAAAATATACAGAGCAAACCCAACCTTTAAAAGTTCTTTCCCAGAAGAGGCTACGAAAATCAGACATTCACATCCAAAACATATATTTTAAAATGCCTATGAATGGCGCCTCTTGTCTGTTTCCATATTTTATACTTTCAAGAATCTGCCAATTTCTCCTGGCTGAGCTCCACTTTCCCTGTTTGGGGTTATTCAATCTGCAATCAAACCTTTATTTCTATCTTGCATGCTCACTTAGTGGTTGGGGTCTTTGGCGGCCACAGTAATGACTGTGTCAAAGCAGTAGTTTTTGCAGGGTGCTTGAAAGATCAGTGCCCCTCACCCGGAACCAAGGTCCCTGCAGAACATCGCACTCTGCAGTTCCAGACCTTGAAAACTCTAGGCGGCGAGGTTTTCACAAGTCGGAAAGCTTTCTCTAAAGGAGGCCGGGCTCTGGAGCATTTCTGCCTACAATGACTGCCCCAAAGCCTAGAGGGCAGCTGGCCGTTTTGAGGTCTTAATGTGAAGACATTAAGACTTTTCACTTTAAAAAAAAAAGTGGGTTATACAAGCTTATACAAGGTCCTGCCCTGTGACCTTCCTTGGACACGTCCCTTCCCCTCCTACCGTAAGGAGGAAACTGCTGGAGGTTCTGTAAGAAAGCTTCCCACCGCTCTCTCCGAGAGCAAAAGTTTCTGGGCCCCTCGCCAACAAGGAGCCCAGCTAGCCCTTCCCAAACCCCTACGCCTCAACTTTCCCTCCTCAAGGCGGGCCCGGAGGCGACCAACACTTCGGCCCGACTGCACAGCAAGTAGGCAAGAGGAAGGAAAAATAAACACCAGATCCTTGGCTCTGCCCTCTCCGCCCGGAGCTGGCTTCCCGGCCGCATTCCGGCCCACTCCTCCCCGCCCTCCCGATCTGCTTCCACACGGGGAAGAGGAGCGCGCCCGCGGGGCGGACGGCTGTGGGAGCCCGAGGCGCCCACCTTGAGCTGGGACTTGGAGACTTTGCCGCTGCGGTCCAGGTCCAGCGCGGTGAAGGCGTGCCAGATGGCCTTGAGCAGCTCGTCCTTCAAGCTCCCCATGGCCGCAGCTTTTGCTGGCCCGACTGCCCGCCTGCCCCGCGAGCCCCTGGACTCCTCTGACTCCCCTCGGCCTCTGAGACCAGGCCCGCCCTGCGGTCACCTGACCGCTCCTGGCCCCGCCCCCGCTTGCCTGGCCCCGCCCACTTGGCGCCTGTTGGGGACCCTAGCGTGGTACCTCGACAGTTTGGGGTCCACGGGTTCGGCCACCCCTGCTGGTAGACATGCCCTGCCTTTTGCCTCGGGTAGGACATTAAATACCACCCGAATTCCCCGAATGTTTCGCCGGACAAGCTCAGACTACTTACAATGCCCTCTTGCACCGCAAACAAGCGCCCCCATCCCGAGGGAAAAACAGAGACTGGGTGAGCTGCCTGCGGAGCTCCAGCCGGAGCACCAAAGTGAAAAGGCGGCCCTAGCCCTGTCCCAGAAACTGAGTCGCTGTCTGAGGAGACTAGTGAAGATTCCGAAAAGAGTCTCCGGGCAGAGTCTCAGATGCTAGCCCAGTCCCCTCAGCACCCTGCAGAATGTGGAAAGTGAGGGAAGGTAGGAAAAGGCCTCTGGAGAAGGCTAGTTCATTCATTCATCAAAGGTTTATTGATGCCTACTCTGTAGTGGGCTCTGAGGGCAGAGTCAAGATTCAAGGTGGCTGTAGAAAGCAGAGGTGAAGGCAACCTTTTCTCTCCTAACGCCCATCGGTTGAGGGTCAGGTGACACCTTTAGGAAGGTTGTGACCAGGGTAATGCTTTTGTTTTGGAGCTTACATAATAGGAGATCCCCAAGGACCCCAGCATATCACTCCACCCATCTTACTCATCAGAATGGGTGGACTATTAAAAAATACTTCATCCAACCTAGAAGAGCATCCTCCACATTGCAAATGTTCAATTAATATCTGTTGACAATATTCACTTGTGCTTTTGGACCTCATATCCTCCACATATAAAATGAGCACAATTGAACCAAATATTCTAGAAAGTTCTTCCAGTGCTGGCATTCTGGGATAATAACTGTTGTTGGCAGACGCCAATCTGATTAAGTCACCAGGCACAGTACTTCTCCTCTCCAATCCAAGACTGAATCTGGACAGTATTTACAGAACAAACACCAAAAGTTTTCAAAAGGAGATGGCTCTCAGATCAAGTTTGGTTTTATGTACCGTTTATGTTCCTTAATGCACACGTAAGGTACCTAATTGAGAAAGGAAAGCATCATTGTAAAGAAGGGGAATTTGGAAAGAGCAGGAAAAGAAAATCAGGTTCGATGATCAAATGGGAACCTGGTGGGCGGAGGGAAGGATAGCCCGATTGAAGGAAAAGGGCAGACCAAAGCTACTGACAGTTCCTCACCATGAGGGCCTTGGAGGCTCCATTCCACTTCACCACCACTTCTCAGGACTTCCCTTGCTCTGACAAAATCCAGTTTCTACTTTTTGTCTTCCTCAGCTCCAATTCAATTTGGTCAGTCCATAAAAATGCATGATTTGAACCTCTAATTTCTTCATGCTAACTCAGCTTTCCCTTGGCAGTGACAAAAAGGCAACCCTCTTAATTCTCAAGGTTCAACCTAACCACCAGATGACATTCCTTCTTCTCTCTCAGTATCTGGAAGCACCAAACAGATAATTCAAAGGCCCTCCCCCCTTTTTTAATCACATGAACAGGATATCCTGGACTTCCAAATTTCCACTCTTCCATCATTCCTATTCTCAATATCCAAACACATTTTAAAGCATCATTATGTCATAGAAAGAGCTATGCTTTGAAATCTAACAGTTTATATTAGTTCTCTATTGCAGCGTAACCAATTATCCCAAAATTTAGCAGCTTAAAACAACAATAAACATTATCTCATATTTTCTGTGGCTCAGGAATTTAAAAGCTGCTTAGTTATTCTGACTTGAGGCCTCCCAGGAACTTATAGTCAAGATGTAGGGCAGTTGTCATCTGAAGGCTTGGCTGGGGCTGGTGGATTCACTTTCTAGATGATTATTTGCAGGAGATCTCCCAATATGGTCCTACCCACAGGCTCCTTGAGTGTCTTCAACAACATGGTAGCTGATTTTCCCCAGAACAAGCAATCCAAGAAAGAGAAAGGTGGAAGCTGCAATGGCCTTTGTAATCTAGGCTCAAAAATTACTCACTACCATGGAAACAGCCTACATGTCCATCACCAGATGATTGGATAAATAAAATGTGGTACATACATACAATGTAATATTACTCAGCCATAAAGAGAAATAAAGTCCTGAAACATGCTACTACATGGATAAACCTTGAAAACATGCTAAGTAAAAAAAGTCAATTGCAAAAGGACAAATATTATGTGATTCCACTTATATGAAATATCAAGGATACGCAAGTGTATAGCAACCCAAGTTTCTCTATGGTTACCAGGAGCAAGAGGAAAAAAGAAACAGGTTAGGGGACACTGAGCTTCTGTTAAAGGTAATGGAAAATTTCTAAACAAATAATGGTGATGGTTGAACAACATGATAAACATGTACTGGATTGTACATGTGAAGAATGTTGAAATGGCAAATGTTTTGTTACATATATATTTACCACAATAAAAATATATAAATATATGTACTATTTTACTATACCAAAAAAAAAAAAAAGTCACTCACCATATTTTCTGCAATAGCCTATTGATTACTCAGACTAGACTTACTTAAATGTGAAAGAAGGAGCTCTGGTAGTATAGCGCCTAAGGCACTTGACTGCTAACAAGAAGGCTGGCAGTTCAAACCCACCAGCCACTTCTCGGAAGGAAGGTTGGGCAATCTACTTCCACAGTGATGCTGCCTCGGAAACCCAAGGAGGGATCGCTATGAGTCAGGTCTGACTCCATGGCAGATAACAACAACAATGTGAAAGAACTATACCGGGTATGAATACCAGGAGACGAAAATCACTGGGGCCATCTCAGAAGCTGGCTACCACACAGACACCAGGAAGAAACTAGGCTCCCCCATATGCTCACCTATGAGTAAATAGGAGGCTTCATTTCCTCATTTGGTGGGGATATAATATTTATCTTTCAAGA